GTGTGTGTGTGTGTGTGTAACGCGCGAAGACGGGGTGTGTGTGTGTGTGTGTAACGCGCAAAGACGGGGTGTGTGTGTGTGTGTGTAACGCGCGAAGACGGGGTGTGTGTGTGTGTGAGACGCGCGAAGACGGGGTGTGTGTGTGTGTGTGTAACGCACGGAGACGGGGTGTGTGTGTGTGTGTGTGACGCGCGAACGTGACCTGGTTCCACAGGTACTACGATCCCATTTTACAGATGAGGACACAGATACCACATGGGTGACTCTCGAGGCCACCCAGCTATTTAAGAGCAAAAGCAAAGAGCTTCGAACTCTGCCACACGGGATGCTGCAGTCGCCACTCGGGGCGCCCAGCGCGCCCACCCACCTGGTCCGACACGTTGTACCAGTCGTAATCAAAGGAGTGGACGTTCTTGCTCTGCGAGAAGGTTAAGATGAACAGGTTGTAGCAGGCTCGGGAGGTGTACAGCAGGATGACCGTCACACCGATGGCCGTCACTTGACACACGGAGGAGCCCTGGAAAAGCGGCAGCCGTGAGGGGCACGCCCATTCCAGGTGCAGACACCAGCCTCCTCCCAGAACCCCCCTGTGCTCCGACCCCCCAGAACCCTCACCCGCAGGCCTGAGGCCCTCTCCAGACCTCAATCCCACGGCCCTTCCTAAACTCTCAAATTATCTGCACACAGACGCTTCAAGCCTGTGAGCGGATCTGGGGGTGCCTTTAACAGGGTTACAATGTGGGCCACTGGCCTGAGGCCTGGGCTTGTATGGACAAGGCCAGACAGCTTCTTTGTTAAATCTCTAAGTGCCACCGTGCAGCCCCAAGGGGACCCTCTAGGCCTGCAAGCTCAGCGCCTGCCTGGGGCCTGTGGCCAACCGAGCACGCTCACAGGCTGGCGGTCAGGAGAGACAGGGAGCGCTTCCCCACCCAGAGTCCTCCAGGCTGGGCAGACAGAGGCCCGACGTGACCTGGGCATGGGGTTAGGGGAAATCAGTAATGTGACCCAAATCATGGAGCTGTCAATCTCCAAGATCAGTTAAAGGACCCCTGGCTGAACCTCACGTTTGAGTTTCGCCTTTGGAAGCCCCGAACTCAGTCCGAGGGGTTTGGTTCTGCCAGGAGGAGTTTGTTGGCTTGTTTGCCACGGGAGTGACCTCAACGGTATCTGACAGTTTGAAACAACCCTGCTCTTAAAACCAAGATTCTGTTTTTAAAAGCTTTGGGCAGCCTCTGTGTGTGAGACAATATAAGTAACAGAGAAAGTTAAGGCAAAATCAAGTTTAAAGTTCCTCAAAACTGCCCGGCTGGTGCGGCTCAGCGGTTGAACATCAACCTAGGATCCAGGAGATCGCGGTTCGATTCCCAGTCAGGGCACATGCCCGGGTTGCGGGCTTGATCCCCAGTGCGGGGAGTGCAGGAGGCAGCCGATCAATGACTCTCTCATCATGATGTTTCTCTCTCTCTCTCCCTTCCTCTCTCTGAAATCAACAAAGACATATATATAAAAAGAAAAAAGTCATCAAAACTTATAAATGGAAAACCTCTCTGCTACACTAACTTTCAGGATTTTGCAGGAGCTCAGGCAATTCACAGAATGTTCTGATCAAGGCTTTATATTTTGAAGTTAGAGGCACAAGTTTCAATCTACTGGTCACTGAAGGCACGATGCTGTCAGAGACAGCAGCCTCACGGCCAGACGGGCCACGTGGCAGAGGAGGCAGACGAGGTCACCTCGGGACACGAAGTCACGGAATTCCAGGAGCAGAGGTGCCACAGAGACCATTCAACCATCCTACACGTGGGAGAACCAAGGCCAGAGGCCCAGCGACTCGGGGCTGGGGTCCCACAGCCAGTGCCCAGCCCCTGCTCCCCGCCCTCCACACTCCCCTAGGCGTCTCGATGGAGGGAATGCTGGGGTCAGGCTGGTCGGGGCTCTGGGCAGCACATCAGCCGCTGTGTAACTGCGGGAAAGGAGAAGTATTCTGGGGTGTGAGGCACTGCAGTGAACAAGAGAGCAAGCCAGGGGCTTGTCTGGCTCCATCCCCGAACAGCCAGTGACAGGAATGAACCCCAGGGGCAGTTCCCATGGCTACAGAAACCCTCGCGGGCACTGCCAATCAGGGGACGTGTCTGCCCCCAAGTCTCTATGGCAGTGAGGCCCAGGGGGAGAGGACAGGCCCTGCAGCCAGACTGCGAGCCGACTCCTGGCCCTGCGTCCAGCAGCTGCGTGCCGGGCAGCCCAGTCACCTCTGCACCTCAGTTTCCCTATCCGTAAAGTGGAGATAAGACGGACTCCCGCGGTCGAGTGCTTAGAAGAGTGCCTGGAACACACTGGACACAGATGTGTGTTCCTAGTGACATTTTTAGCACAATCAACCCCACTGCCCTTTAAAATAGTGGTTAAGCCACTGCCTCTCTAAACCAGGAGTTAATTCTGCACCCTCCGACGCCCTGAGCCCCTGAACCGAAACGCTTCTTGCACACGAAGTTCAGTGACCTACGTCGCTCTGTATTTTGGCCACCACGGCGTGGCGAATCATTTGCAGGTCAGCTGTGAAAGGTGCTGTTTTCAGAAGAAGTTGAATGAGACCCTTGGCCACATTGGCACCTTACCTTGGACTCCAAGTAAATGTTGGCCAAGGACATCTTAGAGATCTTGTAGAGACAGACGGAGAGAGAGACGGCACAGAGCACGAAGAGCGTGTCATTGATGGCCACGCGCACGGACACGATGGCCTTCCTCTCCCAGCTTCCTGTCTTCACCAGCACGGCGCAGGTGAGGTTCACCAACAGGAAGATGAGGCTGATGAAGAGCGAGGCCAGGTAGAGGGGCAGCCTGGGGGGCAAGGGAAACGGTTAGGGCGCCACGACCTGCAGGTTGCGGCTTAGTCCGGGGCAGTGAGGAAGAAAACTGGTATTTTTTAGTGACCTGCTAGGAACAGAACATGCCACGGTTAGCACACACTTCAGAGGTGGGCTTAGGAGGCAGCTGGTCCAGGACTCGAGTCACAGGCTAAGGACAGATCAGCCTGGGAAGGTGCCTTAGCTCGGGAGCCTGGCCTCCGTCCCTGGGCAGTCTGAGCACCGAATGAGACCCGGGTGCTCGCTCCCTGGGACAGGGCTTGCCCAGGGGGCAGAGCGCGGGCTCGGCTCAGAGCTGGTCCGATGAGTAGCTCACCACCCTGCGCCCTGGACACTTGGGCAAAATCAACCTGCCTGAGCCTCGGTGTCAAGTGAAAACACACTAAGTAATAATGACCTTGCAGGTTGTCTCTGAGGACTGAGATAATGTTATAAAGGGTTTCACCCAGAAAAGTCCCCGATGAAGTGGGAGTCGGGCAGCACTCCACCTGTACCTGGGAACCCTCACTGCCGGATGCCGGGATTAAAAATCAGCCCCAGCACCCTGCCCCAGGCTGAATGCTAGCAGCTGTCCTGGTCACTGGCCATTCTGAACTAGCAGCTTCTCAGAGCCACGCAGTCCCGTGTAAGGTCTGTATGGAGATTTCTCAGATTCGCTAAAACCCCAACTAGTAGTCTGTCCACGGCACATTTCCTTCGGGCAGACATCACTCAACAGACACGTGAACAAGGCCCAGGCATGCTGGGCTCAAAATCAGACTGACTTCAGGTGACTGTCTGCAAGTCCAAAAGCAGAAACCCACCAGAAGCGGTTCTGAAGCCAGACAGTGGCAGTGGTTTCAAAGCCATCACAGACCAGGACACGAAAACCGGATTCTAGTCCCAGCTCCAGACACCACACCGACAGGAGCCATGTGATGAGTGGGGAGAGGGGAGGCAGAGAGAGAGAGAAAGAGACAGAGAGACAGAGAGAGAAGGAGAGACAGAGACAGAGAAAGGGAGACAGAGACAAAAGGAGAGAGAGAGAGAGAGAGGGAGAAACAGAGGGATAAAAAGAGAAACAGAGAGACACAGAGAGACAGGAACAGGCAGACAGGAGCAAAGAAAGAGAGCTACAGGAGAGACAGATGCAGCTGCGGTTTTATTTCCTGCTCACAGGGGTCAGGGCCATATAATAACCTCCACAGCCCACAGCTAACTTGAAAGGATTTTGTCTTGCAATTAGTAATTTACTACCCGCTGGCAAAGTCTCTCACTGAATTTTTCAGAACCCACATTCTATGAAAGGAACTCTGCCAAACTCACTCCTCATTCCTCAGGTTGTAGCTCAAATACCACTCTCCCAAAGACTCTCCTGACTCCCGCCCCCATTACACGCACACACGCAGACACGTGCACACATGCAAACGTGCACGCACACACACATGCACGTGCACACGTAGACATGCAGACACATGCAGACACATGCACACAGACATGTGCACACACAGACACGTGTGCACTCACACATGCACACCACTGGGTTGCTCTGACATCTGCCTTCCTGGTCCCTGCACTTTAACTTCACAGACTGGTCACAGTTGACACTAAAGCACATGGACACAGTCTGACCAACATGCCTCCTATCTAGGTGGTGGGCTCCAGAAGATGGAAACTTGGGCTCTTTCCTTCACCCCTCTGTCCACACTGTACACAGTAGGAACTCAATAAATTTGTTTGAGAGGGAAAGGGGCGGGGGGAGTAAAGAGTGAGTCCAGGTGAAGACCTGCATCTGAGTCAGAAGCATGACACTGGGTCTCTAGCCAGGTGGCCCTCTTCTCTCCTGCAAGCCCTCCACTGAGCTGCTGCGAGGCCACCCTTCCTGGGGAAACCTGAACTTCAGCACCTGCACCTTTCAAGGTGGAGACAGAGAATGGAGGTTCTTCCCTACGCAGCTGGAGCAGAGGTAACAATTTGGAGATGATGTGGCCTGAGGCCTGGCAGCCCAGGGTGGCGGGGAAGAGACTGGAGGGGTGGACAAAGGGCCTGGGAGAGAAGAGGGTGTGGTCTGTGCGAATTCGGGAAGGCAGGAAGGACCACACTGGGTCTGAGCTGGTCAGTATGCTGGGCCCGATCACAACCTGCAGGGGCAGGCGGGTGGGAGAGAAGCTGCAGGGGAGGGCCCACAGGTGGGTAGCAAAGGAACAGTGGAGCTGGACAGGATGAAAGGACTCCAGTCAGGAGACGATAGCCCCAGAGCTGACGAGGGAGCGTAACCAGTGGGACCTGGAGAGGTGGTGCCACTAAAGGAGGTAAGAGCAGTGCAGGAGGGGCCCGGGGGCTTAGAGCCACCCCACAGTCCTGGGACCCCTCTCTACAGGGTGCCGTGGGGGATGGTGACAGGCGGTGCTCTGCCATCTTAGAGTCAACTTCACATGCAGTTACACACTGAAAGCTTTTCAAGCAGCAACAAGTTTATTTTGGAAAAATAAGTATGAGCTAGTTACTAAAGTCAGGTTCTTTTATGAGATGTGGTCACTGGTAAAGGCCCTTTTAATCCACTCACCCTCTCACTGGCTGTCCTGGGCCCTGCTTTCCCGGACAGGAGACCCTCGCAGTGCCCACTGTGCGCCACCACAGAGCACACGATACAGCTGCTTGGTTCTGGGGCCACCATCTCCCCAGCACACTGAGCTCAGGAGGGGCGCCCCCACTGGGTCCCCAGTGCCAAACGCCAGGCTGGGCCATGCGGGTGCTCAGTACACCTGCCCTAGTCTCTAGGTCCAGGACACTTCCACATTTTCCCGTTGCTAAGATCAGGATCCTTCTGCCACGTGGAACACTGTAGCCCGATGCGGGAGTGTTTCCTCTCTCCCTGAAATCTCCCGTAGGCCCAGGGTGTGCCTTGGGGAAGCGGGTAGGTCAGAGGTAGGGAAATAGGAAGTTTGCAGGTGACCTTGGGCCAGCCACGCTTCTGCTTCCTCCTGCAGAGACAGGGCTCCACCGGCCGCGCAGGGCCGCTGGGGGCGCAGGGACAGAACACAGGCAGTTGGCGGCATGGCTCATGGATTACAGGGCTGTCATCTGCTCTCACCCTGTTCTCATAGATGGGGAAGCCGGGGGACATGGAGAGGCAGGGTCTTTGGGAGTCACCAAAAATCTGCATCTGGTTCTTCGAAAGCCCCCTTTTTTCCTGGTCTATTATTACCCGCTGTACTTTTGTGCCGGACATGTACCCTGGCCAGGGTGCACACCCCACCCACACGGCGGCCTCTGCAACACGCACCTCCGGGCACCGCACTTTTCCAGATGGCTCCCCGTGGGTGTGGCTCGAAATCAACTGTGGAGAGAAATGTTCATTCCTCTCTCTCTGAAAGCAGAACGTGGCTGCTGGACACACGGAGGTTCCAGAGGGGACAGGCCAGGGCGGGCGGAACCTGAGCCCCGACGTGGTTCCGCCGCTGCTCTGCTGAGGCCCTGGGCTCTTCCCAGCTCTCTCCACACACACGCACTCACATGCACTCTCATGCATACTCACACACACACACCCCCTCACATCCAACATTCACACACTCTCATGCACTTACACATACTTACACGCTCATACTCAGTCTCACACACGCACACACACATGCACTACACATACTCAGTCACAAAGTCACACACACACTCATACACAGTAACACACACCTTCACACACACACCTACACACACACCCTCACACACTCATGCACTTACACACTCACACACTGACAAAGCCACACACACACTCACACACATGCACTCATGCATGCTCACACACACACAATTTAATCAGTCATCGAGTTGCACAGACCCCTTACTCCCTGCTCCCCGATCTGGGCCCCTTTCCCATCCTCGCCACCCCAGCTGTGCCTCACGCCTTCTGACCAGAACTAACGTGACAGTGTCCTAACTCACCCCCACACCCCACACCCCACACTCCCCATCCTCCAGTCCCTGCTGTCCAGAGCCAGATCAACCTATGGGCGCCTGGTGTGCTAATTAAACCAGTCTACTCTCTGTCCTCAAGCCTGTCCTGTGTCCCCACCTCCCTGTCTTTACACCAGCCAATCTTTCCACCTAAAACCTTCCTGCCCCTTGACTTCTACCCATTCCAACCCTCGGGGCTACAGGACCACCTGCTGAACAAAAGCCTGTTGTCATCTTAAAAAAACGGGCTGTGCTGTGAAACCTGAAACAATATGGAAAAAGTACTTATGACCTAACATTAAGATAAAAAGTCAGAAAGCAAAACTGAACATGAGATAAAACACCAGCTCTGTCCTGGAAAACATACATGAAAACCTACAAAGAAACACGTCACTTCGCTCCCTTAGGGTTGGAGGGGTTTACACTAGGGGTGGGGGGCTCAGTAGATATGCTTTACTTCTTTCCATGTGTGTAAATTCACTTTTCTTTTTCTATTTTATAATTTTTTCTAGTGAGCTTACATAATTTTTGTTTGTTTAATTTTTCCATTGATTTTTTTCAGGAAGTGCAGAAAGGAGAGAAGAAGGGAAGAGGGGAAGAGAGAGAGAAACGTCGATGTGAGAGAGATACATCGACCGGATGCCTCCAGCACATGCTCCGACCAGGGCCAGGGAGAAACTGCAACCCAGGTACATGCCCTTGGCCAGAAATCGAATCCGCGACCCTTCAGTGCATGGGCTGCTCTAACCACTGAGCCACACCGGCCAGGGTGAGCTTACGTAACTTTTATAATAAAAAAAGTACCTTACAAAACTTAACTTGCCCCTTGGCCTGCAGCTCTGGAAGAAAGGGAGAGATCTGGAGTGTGGACAGAGTTTTAAAGGGGGCAGAATAGATCGTATCACAGGGGGGTGTTTGCACAGGAACAATATTTGGAACATTGCCTGAAAGCAACTTCGTTTCAACCCAAACCTCAGGGTTAGGGTAAAGAGCCCACGATGACAAGACCACAGGATGAGAAAGCCGGGGACCTGGCATCTGGGAAAACCACTATGCTTGTGAGACCAGGAGAATCGGCTTCTAGGGGGTCAGCAAGCACAGAGCCGAGGAGTACTCAGGGCAGCCCCCCACAAACCCCCTCTAGACTCCCCTGTCCTCAGGACAGGAAGCGCCAGACCTGGGTACTTCACGCCTCCTACCCCGAGGGGCCAGTATTCATGAATATCCAGCACCTTCGAGTCCTTACAGAAAGGAAAAAGCAAAGCCTGGCTCCATGTGCTGTTTTTTTTAATCAAAGATGGAAGAAAAGCAGTTGAAAACGTTTAAAATCAAAGTCCACTTGTGCGCTCCAACACTCAGCATTCAGGTTTCCTAAGCCAAAAACACAGACCGAGAAAGAGGGAAACCGAAAGAAATGGGCAGTGACTCCCCAAGACTCAGAGCCAGCGGCCGTGGGGGAAGCGGGCGGGCTGGGTGAGTGGGCATCACCTTCGGAAACACAGGCCTGCCACAGGATGGCCTGGGGGGGCGTTTAACCGGCAGGAGACTTATGGCTTGAGATCCATTTAGAAGCCGGACATCAAAGCGTCTCAAGGGCTAAACCATGGCCTGCACGTCGCAGTGGCATCTGGCCTCAGAGGAATGGGGCGCTAGAGGAGACGACAGCCGTGCAGAAACACAAGATCTGAGCTAACAGGCTTCTCCCAATGAAACCTTAGCCTCCTGGCTCTGGACACCCTTCTCGGCCCTAAAATTTCACCTGTAACATCTGCATCTGCAAATCCCCTCCCAATATCAGCCGTCACCCCACCAGTGTAGCTGTCTCTCCATCTGCACTTTGGTTCCAGGAGCAAGTACTGCCCCCCCACATCTCACCTGAAAGGCCCCATCCCCCGAGTGCAGGGGCTGAAACGTTTGAAAGTCCTTTCTGACCAGGCCTCCCCCAGTCCACTGCCAGAAGCTCTCACGCCTAGTTCCCAGCCTCAACCAAGCATTTCCAAGATTCCAAGGCTAGGTCGCCCTGCAATCCAGTCAGAATGTCTCCCTCCACCCCAACCCTCACTGCTCTCTGGTCCCAGCCCCCACCCCAGCCGGCCCACCTTTGGGGGGTGTCAAGATAATGGATGCAGAGGAGAGGCTACTTATCAGAGACAGGGGACTCTCTACTTTCAACTCCCTCCTTGGGACCAGCATCATTTCATAGCTGAACAGTCCGGTAGAAACATGAACCAAAGAACCCGAAAAGCAGCGGAGGGAGATGCCAAGGTCAGCGGAAAGCAACGTGGCACCACCACTCTCTTTACGTGGATCAATACTGTCATGTAACTTTCTGGAACTTCAGTTTTCTGGATATAAAATGGGGATTAAAATATACACTTTCAGGATTTTAAATAAAAAGTCTTTATAAACTTACTATATATACTTAAATAAAATATAACATGTATACATTTTTGCATATTTTTAAAGTAACAAAATACTGAAATTTTCATTTTGACTCAAGAAGTGGCCAAAGTCGCCTTTCTGGAAATGTATGCCCTCGGGGTGCAGGTCTCCCAGGCTGGGGCATCAGGACACCCTGACTCGCGCTGCACCTGCCTCCGGGCCCTGGACGCCGGGTCTCCCTGCCCCTCTGCCCAAGTCTGACCTCTCTCAGCCCCTGGCTCTTTGCTGGGAGTCCCAGAGCCCCTTCAAGCTTGGGAGGAGCTGTGGCCTCTCCATGCACAGCCCCTCTGCACATGAACATGGCATGTGTCTAAGGACTTCCCTTCTAGACTGCGAGCCTCTCCTGTTCACCCCAGCACAGGCCTCGCTTCTTCCACCACATTCCTGTGACTCCCATGGTCTCCAGAGGCTGCAACACAGACCTCCTGGGAGCCCGACGTGTCATGGATGGCACTTGGCCTGACTCTGCAAGTTTTCGCCGATTAGGGCATCTTTACTGTCAGTGTTCACCTCCTGGTGCCCAGCTGAGCACCTGATGGTCAATACTGTGTGTGCTGGACGTGCGGAGCCGCTACTTACCGGTATTTGAGTAATTCTGGAGAGTATTTGGACTTGGCTTTGAAAATCACCTGCAATGACAGAAAACATGGCGGGTTGGGGATGCAACCAGCTGACACCAGGGAGCTGATGTCACTGCTCAGGACTCCCTGCCCCCCCCTTTCCCAGGTGCTAGATGTCTGCTTGCTCAGAAGGATTGCTAAGATAATGCTTTTTAGGCTGTGCACACAATTTCAGAATAAAGATATTTTAAATAGCTAAAATGGTAAAATAAAAAAAGTAAAAGTATTACTGGTCTCTCACTTTAAGGTTTGTATTTGAACCCATACTTCCCCTAGAGATAAACCGTCTGCCCTCCCACGTTATTAGAAGTTTCACTGCACCGAATTAATGTAGTTTGACTGTAAGTGTCCATCTCCCCAAGCCTCAAAGTTTGCAGCGCGCGGAACTGTCTCTGGACCACAGACGTATCAGGCTCGATCATTTCTGCAGGAGAAATGTGTGCTGGGAGCCCCCCGGATCTGCAGCAGCCTGCACAACCCCCCACATGCCACAGGCAGAGCAAGAGGCGGAGAGGGGGCCGAAGGCAGGTGTTGGCTCCAGCCCCGGCAGAGGGGCCGGTCTCTCTGGGTGGATCACGGGTTCGGGGGCTGGTTGGGGGTTCGGGGGAGGGGAGGCAGGGCAGCAGGGATATGCTCATGCATTTGCCATCCTGGTTCCCGGGTCAGGGGGGCACTGAGAGAAGGAGACAAAGACTTGGAGGAGCGGAGAAGGGGACACTTCTTCAGAGATCTGGTGAGCATCAGACGACCTCACCCCTGCTTCCATGCAAAGCCTCTGCGTGCAGCCCCCCAGCACCCCCAGGCCGCGGTCTCCCCACCAGCCCCAGCCGCGCCCGCCCCTCTGCTCAGCTCTCTCGGAACCTCTCAGGATCTGCTCAGCCTCCCAGCATCTGAGGGGGAGAGAGATACTGCTGGAGCTGGAATTACCCGAACTGCAGGGCACAAAGGACAACGGAAAACGGAGTGAGGGGCAGGGGCCTGGTTCTGGTGGGAGTGGAGGAGGGGACAGGCCGCTCTGGGACCCGTGGGGCACACGGGGATCAGATGCTGTTGCCCTCTGGTCTGAGGAGGAAGCAGTGAGAGAGCCGTTTCCTCCAGGGATACAGGAAAGTAACCCCTGGAATCCCCCCGTGAATCTCAAGCGTGTGGCCAGGTCTGCTGACGCAGCTGTCACAGAGGCAGGGACCCTCCGCCGACCATGGGCCAGTCCCTGGAGCACACGACGCTCACCCAGGGAGCCCACCCTCTGGCGCCTTCGGCTGTGGTTCTCGGACTTCCACGGGGCCCTTGTGGAAGAGACAAATCCCAGGTCCTACCTGCAGAGTTGCCAACCCTGTGGGTCTGGGGCAGGGCCCAGGAATGTGCATTTTAATAAGCTCCCCACCTCCAGTGATTGGCAGCCAGCCCAAGGCCCACCTCCTGAGAAATACCAACCTAACGGGAAGGAAATGGCCTGGCCGGACATTCTGGAATAGCCTTGCAATCGCTAACATAAAACATGGAACAGTGACCACAGTCACCAGATGACACCAAACGAGGCAGATGGTGTGAAGACAGATGAAAAGCGGGAGGTCCAGGGGCGGCCCCACTGCACACACTTCCACTTCCAATTGTTTGTCACCAGGGAGGACCTAGCCCACAGGATCAGGGCCTGGGGGGGGACCACAGCTTCCCAGACTTTACAATAAGCAAATCCACCTCCCCCTCTGAAACAAGCATTTCCTGAGCGTCACAGGTGAGCATCCAAACTGAAGAGAGAATCACCTGGTTTCTGACACGAGTTTCATCTCTGCCCTAAATCCTTTTTGGAAGCTGGTAGGAAGCATCGTAAATAAATGAAAATACTTAATAATACAAACAGAGACATCAGTCCAGGGCCCTTACTTAAGGGAGTAGTGAGTCAGCTTTGTCTGATAGTCTCCTGTGGGGTTTCAGGCAACGCACATGCCTTTGGTGTTTCTCTGCAGCCCATAGGAGGGAAAGAGGTTACAAATCTAGACTAACCCATGACTCCGAAGTCTGTTAACAAACACAAACCCGCTCCTGCATAGAACAGAACTCTCAGAAATGGCTCTCCTGCTGAGCAACGCTCAGGATCTCCTGCCTACAACCAAGAGAATTCTTCATAGATACCAGTGAGAAGAAACTACAGAGTTTAAACAGTGTCTGACCTTGTTGAGGAAATGTGAAAATATTGTTTAATATTTTGCTACACTTCGGGGGGCTCAGTCAGGGACAGGTAACTTCGCCTGAGTCACTGCTGACTCACAGGCTATGCCTATCACAGCACACACCCCCCACGGCCCCCGGACGCCCACACACACACAGACTATGGTCTCAACTCTTAGCAAAGTGCCATCAGGAACAAAAGAAAAGTAGAAACAGTCCTGCTGTCGACGGGCTCACAAAGTGGAGAGTAGATGTGCACAGAGGAACTGACAGCTGATGCCAACCAGAAGGCTCTGGCCTCTGCTCCTGGGAGCTCAGGCAGCTGACCCGCAGGTTGTGGGCTCAGCCTCGAGGTCATATGAGCTCTTCTCTGCTCCTTGGCCACACTCTGCCCCAGCTCCTGGTCACCCAAGGTTGGCACAAGCCTGTATGTGGATCAGGGTCAACTCAAGGCTACTCAGCTCCCAGCTCCCTCCCACCCCTTAGCCAGAGCTGGGTCTCTGGGATGTGGAACCCGCAGAATGACATACCCGGCCAGCCAAGAGCTGCAATAGCAGGTGACACACCCAGCTGGAAGTGCAGCCCCCACCCGCCACCCTCTTTACAAACAAAAGGGACACTCCTTGACTCCCCAGCCCCGCCCCTGCAGCTCCCTCCACAGGCCTGGCGGTGGGCGGACAGAACGGGGTCAAGTGCAGCGGATGACCGAGAAGGCCAGGCTGGACCCCGGAACACCCGCCCGGGGCACGGGGAGGGACAGGAGTCCCACCAGGGCTGCCAACTATACTTGGTCGAGTATCCAAGCCCCATGAGCAGTCAGACACTTAGCCTCAAGAATTCCACTTGGAAGAAATTATTTGGAGGCAGGGCTTCCCACAGGTTCCCACAGAACTGGGAATTTAAAATGTCACTGGAAATGAGCATCATGATGAAACTTATGTAGAGCAGCTGGCTGAACACCTTTCCTCCAGCAGCGGTTCCCTGGGCCTCTGAGAGCCTCACACGTTGGAAACCTTCAGGTGAAACATCGCCAGTTCCCAACCATTCGGTCATGTCAGGTCTTCCCGGTGTGCTCCAGGGAACGGAGTTTGGGCAACACTGCCTGTGGCGCTAAGCAGGGATGGAACGGCCACTGCAGCCCGAAGAGGAGTGACGATGACAATAATAACCACAACAAATGAGAACTTTAAAATTATTCTGAGTGTCTGCCCCGTGAACATGGTCACCAATCCAGCACCGGGGTCCTCGGGGTTAGGGACCTGTAGAATGACTTGTGCAATAAAAGATGGAGCAACCCCACGAAACTCAAGCTCAAATCACATGGCCCCCAGCCTGAGGACAGTCACGCCTGTGAGGACCAGCAGATAACCAACAAACCACTTGCCCCTCTCCAAGCTTAAAGCCTGGACCGTGATTTGTGGAAGTCCATCCACTCTCAGCATTTCTGACAATCACGTTTTGACTCCGACTGGCCGACTCACGCTGTGCTTGGAAACACTTCCTTTACCCTTCAAGCTCATCCTTAAACCTGAGTTCCTCAAAGTTGTATTTAAGTTCCTGGCATAGGGTCTGCTCTATATACACATATACATATACATGTGTATGTGTACATTAATTACAGCATAATTTCTGTCCTAATAAAAGTGCATAAATGGACCAAGTTTTCAAATTAAAGAATCCAACCTCGCCTACCCAGCCCAGCCCACCCTACCCCGACTGTGCTCCAAGAGACTCCACTAAGACTGATTAGGGCCCAGAACTGGAGCTAACTTCCAGGGCTGAGGCCTGGGGTCCCTTAGCTTGCCACCCACCTCCTACAGTCTGCGCTGGCTCCCACTGACCTCGGAGGGACTCGGCTGGGAGAGGCTGGCTCCTGAGGGGAGATTACTGCCGTGGATTTCACAGTGCTGCCCACAGCAAGGTACAGAACCAGGCCCACGAAATCAGAGGGGAGGAAGACAGGGCACTGTGAGAGGATCTGGGGAACACCTGATGCCAGACAAAACTCAAATATCCCCACGTTCAGGTGGCGGGTTCATGATGGTTCAGCTGAAAATGAGACTAAACCTGGATGCAAGAACTGTGGAAATAAGGAAACGCTGGTCCCTGACCTCGAGAAACTCAGCCAGATGCAGACATGCCAGCCGTCTGAGGGGAGTGGAGGTGTGGGGAGGTGTGGGCAGGTGTGATGTGATGTAGAGAGGTGCTTGGAGGTGAGGGGAGACGTGGGGAGGTGTTCAGAGGTGCTTGGAGGCATGAGGAGGTTCTTGGAGGTGAGGGGAGGTGCAGAGAGAAGGCTGGGAAGCCTCAAAGCCCGGGGGCGGGGGCGGTACCCGCCGCAGGGAGGCTGGCACGCAGGTCTGGGCTGCAGGAACAGCCTGAACTCAGGTGAGGGCCTGCACCTCCCAGGTCAGGGAGCCAGCAGGAGGTCAGTGGAGTTAACAGGATGAGGAATCCAGCTGGGCTTTGAAATGGGGGCAGGCGTGGGGACAGGAAGCACAGGAGAGGCAAGAACACACGTGTTTGCAGGCAAATCAAAGATGGGCTGTGATGAGGGGGGCCTGGCTCGGGCTGGGGAGTGACTGCTGATGCTACAGGGTTTCTTCTGGGTGACTAAGGGCTCTAAAGGTGACGGTGGGGACGTGAATGCAGCACAGGTAAGTGGGGAACTGCGTGGAATGTGAATTATGCCTCAGTCGGGCAAAGGAGGGGAGGAAGGCAAGGAGCAGGCCAGCAACAGGGCGGCGCCTGGTGGTCCGGCCCCGAGAGCCCAGAAGAGAGGGGCCTGGGAGGGCGACAACCAAGGCATCCCAAGCTGCCCAGTGGATGACAGCGTGAGC